AATCGGTTTCAAGAAAATGAAAGTCACCCACAACTAACATAACAAGCGGTGTGAATTCGAAGCCAAGGTCTCTCTGAATCTCTTTCCGTCGGGACGTCTCCCGCACTCCCAACGCTGCTTCCTCGGTTCTTCAGGTGTTGTGGATGCTGGAAAGGAGAGAGAAATGGGGACATCTGTTCTTTCTCACAGTCCCTGCTCTTCTTTGGGACTCATGTTCAGGAGACAGCAAGTCTGTGTGGACGGGAACTACCAGCTGTTCCTTTGTCAAGATGTCGATTTTTCACCCAGAGCCTCTTTCACCCAGACAGTGGGGATGGTCCATTTGACACCTGGCTGAAGCATTGGCAAGTCTTTCATCTCTAGGGAACTGGTTGGTGGCTGCCTCTCAGACTTGGAATATGTCTTAGTAATGCCATACAGAGGAATCCTGTAACTTTACATGCAATGTCGCCACCTATATTTTACCAGGACAATAATGATCAGCAAATTATGAGTTTTCAAATAATACCTCACAAGGCATTCTTTGTACAAAACTTATCATAGTCCTGCGAAAGGGGGTGAATATAGGGGTACAAAACTGGCACAAGGATGAAGAAATCAGAGAGTTATATGCAGGTGAAATCCAGCAAACATCTACACGCCAGCTAAATCCGAAGAGTGACCGAGCTGTACTGATCTGTCAGTTCAAAGTGTCTTTCAGGGCGGGCCCGGGAGGCGGCTCCTGGGGATCTCTGGCGGACGTTCAGAGTCTCTGCCCCCTCTGAATTCAAAGAGCCGAGAAGATGGGAAATTTCCAGTGGTTTTGTTTAACTTCCAAGCCCAGGGGACGAGCTCCCTGCCACGTAGTGTTTCCCAGGTGCGACCGGCCATTGACCAGTCCTGAGTGTTGCGATGATCCCGCACCAACGCGCCGGGGAGCTGGGCCGGCCTCTGGCGACGAGTGTGTCAGGCCTTAGCTAACGCCGGCAGCCTGGGCCGGAGCTGGCAGAGGGGGCCGGTCTGTAGTGGGGGGCCAGAGGGCCCCTTGGGGGGCGTAGTGAAGGAGGAAGGTGGGGCAGATCAGTGACTCTCTGTGTCTCCGTCCCAGGCTGGACCAGGGCTGGATCTTGAGGCAGCTGAAGCTGGTGCAGAGCTGCCCCTGGGCGCATAACGCCAGCGCCCTGGACCAGTACAGGTACCCCCCCACCCCCAGTGCCCTGCCCCCCTGCTTCCTCTCCCCCCACCCCTCTTCCCCCTCCCTCCCCCGATGCTGCTCCAAATACCTCCTTCTCTACCCCTCTATGCCCTCCCCCAACCCCCCTTGCCCTCTGCCCTCTGCTGCCTCCGACTACCCCCCCCAGCTGCCCCTCACCCCTCTCCCCCGCACAGGGAACAGCTGGGGGGCTGCTGTAACGCTTCAGCCAAGCTGGTGCTGACCTGGGACAACACCCCACTGGGCTCCCAGATCGTCTATGACGCACAGCGGGACAAGAAGCATCCAGTGAAGGAGGAGCTGCTGGAGATGCTGCCGCAGGTAGGGGGCGCTGGGCTGGGAAGGGGCGGGGGGTGGGGTCAGCGCTGGGCGCTCCACCACAGAGCTGGCTGCATCTCAGCACTGGGTGAAGGGTACTTTATAAACAGCCCCCCCACGCCCCACCCCAGAGCTGGCTGCATCTCAGCATCGGGAGGTGGGCCCTCTGCATGGTTGGTGGGTGCTGACCCAGGCCCCCTCCCCCGCAGGTCTCCCCGTTTCAGGGCGCCCCCTACGAGTGCTGTGCCGTGGTGGGGAACGGGGGGATCCTTCGTAACAGCAGCTGTGGCCCCGAGATCGACCGCGCCCAGTTCATCATCAGGTAACGCCGGCCGGGGAGGGGGGGAGATGGGAGCAGGGGGAAGGAGGGTTCAGGGTGAGTGAGATGCGGGGGGGGTCAGGGAGAGTGGGGTGAAATGGGGGGCTCGGAGAGTGGGGTGCCAGGTGGGGGGGG